ACAACTTTAATTATTATCTACCATTAAAATTTTTAATTTTGAAATAATTTAATATTTATTTACTTGTTACTTTTTTATACGTAATATATCATATCATTTCTTTCTAATGATGTTTGATTTGACTAATGTGTTGTAAATAAAATAAAATAGTATATACTTATTTTTATCGAAATAAAATAATATATATATATATATATATATATATTTAGTATAATAAATGGACCTAAAAGTAAGTTATATAATAAATTATAAATCCATGATAAATTAATTTTATTAAGTATGAAAAAAAACATAAGATAAACTTATGCTATATTTTGCTTACATATGTTTTAAATTCTTATAAAATAAGAAAAAAAAACGTGCAAAATGGATGTAAACTTACAACTATTACCAACATTAACTGTGCGAATTAAAAGGAGAATTAAAGGGATTGATTTTTAAAAATTATCCCGTTACTACATGAAAGCAACACAATGATGGTTGTAATATATAGCATATATTTTCAATGAATACGAAATGAGTTAATTACTCAATATTTTATCAAACAACCGAAAAAAATCCTATGATTTTTAATCTTATAACCAATATAAAAGTACATTTTCGTCAAATATATTATTATTATAAATAAATAAAAAATTAATATTAAATAATATATATTTATGGTATTTGATTATATTAGTTATAGCTTAATAAATAAACTATTTTGATTACAATGTCATTATATAAAGTACATAAAAAAAATGACGCATACATACAAATATGCTCTAATTCTTTTAGCAAATAAATATCATTTGTTAGTAGAATAATAAACAAATAAAACAATAGTAATTCAATGGAGAAAGAAAAAGTTTGAATTTTCTTAGAGAAATATGAATGTCAATATCTAGAAACAAAAGTCTTTTTAAATTAGTATTTTTTTTTTTTTGCTAGCGTCTAAATATATGAACTCTGCAAGAAATTAGTTCTCATAAAAAATGATCCTATATTATCAAGAATTTTAAATAATTAAAAGAATAAAAACTTTGTAATATATAACGTAAATTTTAATAAAAACTTCGTAATAAAGCTCACAAAGTGACTGGCAGTATCATAATATAATAGAATTCTAATTCTTTCTTTCTCAAATATGTTAGCAAATGATATGCTTTTTAATATTGTCTCATTGTTTTGTTTTATTTTATTTTTTTATTTGTTTTATTTTTTTAGTCCAAGAAAAAAGGATCTTTATCTTGAATTTTTTTAGAAGCTCATTTGTTCTATATTTTACTTCGTTTTTGCAGTGATAGTGATATGTTTAATTAATTAATTAATTTATTTTACTAAATTTAATCAGCAAAATACACTCACCACCACGTGCGACGCACGTGGACTTAACTAGTACATCTAAAATGACTACTAAATTATACTACATTTATTTTTTTCTTTGTCACCAAAATATGACTATGTACAACTCACCTTACATTGGGAGCTGCCCTAACCACCACTACAAGAGAAGCATGAGTTAATACTCTCCCATTGGGCAGCCATTGTTCCTGACAACATGATCTAAAAAAAAAAAAGTAAACAGCATGAAACCAATAAATTTGTCCAAGTTTTGCCCCAAAATCATGAAAAAAAAAATAAAAATAAAATCATCAATGGCATTTCCTCCAATCATTGTCAAGAGCCCACTATCAAAGTTTGTTCATCTTTCCTTGTAAGATATTTCCAATACAAAATTAATTTTCATCAGATGACCAATGAGTTAAGCTAAAGTTTGCTGATTATTGCACTTACTTACTATTCACAGCAAAAGTGATATGTTGCTTCCTCTATAATGTTTTCAAATCATCCTATTTATATGTAATTCTTGTCAGTAATCATACACACACACACACATTCCACATTTGGTCATCATGTTGAAGAAAATGTTCAATGATGGGCTTTCTTTGGGTCTTCTCTTACTTAGTCTTGTCTTTACAAGAGTTTTAGCTGAAAATGGGAATGTAAGAAAGTCAAACACTTCTGTAATTTTGTATATATAATTTTTTACGTACGTACGTGCGATAATTAAATCCCGATATCTGGCAGGACTTCTACATTGTTTTCTTGAGAGATCAGACTACGAGTGAGAGACCGACACTTGTCGAGACGCATTTGAATATCCTTTCATCTTTGAAGGGAAGGTAAGATTGTTCACCGACTCCTATTATTCGCTCACGCTATGATTAAGCTTTTCTTTGTTATCACTTTTCCTCGTGATTAGCCATGATAAACAAACGAGTTTTAAGTCGTTATCGATCAAGTACAGTATATGTAGATAAGTCAAAGGAGAAACTAAAAAGACTTCAGTAAAGTTTCTAAAGTATCATAACAGTCCCCAATCTACTTGAGGGTACAAATTGAGGAAAAAGGTGGGAAAATTGAGAATGGTACAAAAAAATGGATGTTTTTTTTTTCGAGTAATTCGTCTAAACCCGAATGTTGTGTTTGGCTTCAGTGAAGATGCTGCTGCAGAGGCTCTTGCTTATAGCTACACAAAAAGTTTCAATGCATTTGCAGCAAAGCTTTCTGAAGATGAAGGCACAAAGCTATCGAGTATGTCGAGCCTTGTGATCTGTTTTTTCTTCAACACACCACATTAATAACAATCTAAAGTTTTTGAAATTGTAATTTACACTATTGGTGGTATTTTATTTCTATTTAAAGATTCCACCTAGAAACTATGTTAACATTATGAACCTAACTGCAACAATTTAACAGCATTTGTACTTTGAAAATGGACTAATCATTATGACAAAACATTCTAGGTATGGATAAAGTTGCCTCGGTTTTCCAAAACCGATACAGGAAACTACACACGACAAGATCATGGGATTTCCTCCGACTAACTCAACAGTCAAAGAGGAATTTGGAAGTTGAGAGCGACATCATAGTTGGAATGCTTGACTCAGGTACACAATGCCAATCAAGTAAAATTCTACATTCATTATTGTGAATATTTTGCTTGACGATTATTCTCATTGACATTGTATAACACCAAAGGCCATTAGTTTTTAGCAATCTTTTATGCATAACAGGAATTTCGCCCGACTCCGAGAGCTTTAACGACCAAGGTTTCGGCCCTCCACCGAAAAAATGGAAAGGAAGTTGCCCCAAAGCTGCAAATTTTTCCGGATGCAACAAGTAAATCTCCATGCAATGATGCCCTTCTTGTTTTAGTTTTTTTCTTTTTTTTTGACAATTTCCTTATTTACAATTGGCAACTATTGAAGCAAGCTGATTGGTGCAAAGTACTACAAGATAGACAAGCAGCCAGACCCGAACGACATCCTGTCTCCCGTGGACATGCAAGGCCACGGGACCCACACATCATCGACCGCGGCAGGGAGCGCGGTCAAGCGAGCGAGCCTATTCGGAATTGGAGAGGGCACGGCCCGGGGGGCAGTGCCTTCGGCCCGTGTGGCAATGTACAAGGTGTGTTGGGGCTCGGGTGGATGCGCGGACATGGACTTGCTTGCGGCATTTGACGATGCCATACACGACGGGGTTGATGTCATATCCCTTTCGCTCGGGGGCTACACGGGACGCTATAATGAGGATGTCATAAGCATTGGTGCCTTCCGGGCCTCGAGCAAGGGGATCCTCACGGTGGCCTCAGCAGGGAACTCTGGGCCGGACCAAGGGTCAGTCACGAACCATGCACCCTGGATACTGACAGTGGCGGCCAGTGGCATCGACCGCCAGTTCAGGAGTAGGGTGTTGTTGGGCAACGGGGCCACGTTGTCGGTAGGTCGTTTGACTTTATGAATGTATTTTAAGACTTTTTCATTTTAAGCTCAAGTGGTATCATTGAGGATTGTGTGTAGGGAATTGGAATTAGCCCAATTGAGCCAAAGCAAGACTTGTATCCTCTGGCAAGTGGGGCTGATGTGGCCAGTGACTCTCGTAATAAGGAAGCTGCAAGGTACTCATATTTTTCATTCACATGGATGATAAGAGTAAAAACTAAAAGGAATATCCTTAACAATGTAATTAATTCCTTTCACTTAGGTATGTATTGTTTCATGTGACAATTAGGTCCTGTTATGACGATTCAATGGATCCTAAGAAGGTGAAAGGGAAGATCATATACTGCTTCGAGGGCACGGGCCGGGCGGATTCCATCATCAAAGGTCTCGGGGGCATTGGCGCCATAATTGAGGGTGACAGCTTTTCTGATACAGGATTTGTGTACATGGCCCCAGCAACCGTTGTTAATTCGACTGTAGGGAATACAATCGAGCACTACATGAATTCCACAAAGTAGAGACTATTTCTACTTTTGTTAACCTATCTTCATACAATCATGAATCTCTCCAAATAATAAATCAGCTCAAGACCTTAACCTTCACAACTTATGATTAACTGCAGAAAACCGTCCGCAGTCGTACACAAAACCGAGGAATTTAAAATTAGTGCTCCTGTTGTGGCTTCATTTTCTTCAAGGGGTCCAAATCCTGGATCCCAACACCTTCTCAAGGTATGCATTGCAACTTACGACCATTTTAACTGCAAAATATCACTAGCGGCTTACCCTATCTTTTCGGTTCTGATTTTTCTGACAATGAAACACGACCAACAGCCTGATATTACAGCCCCGGGGATCGACATCCTAGCGGCTTACACTCCTTTGAGGACTATAACAGGAAGGGACGGCGACAAACTGTACTCCAAATTCAGCGTTTTATCTGGCACCTCAATGTCCTGCCCACACGTCTCAGGGGCTGCTGCCTATGTGAAATCTTTCCACCCCGACTGGTCGCCTGCCGCCATAAAATCAGCCATTTTGACCACAGGTACTTGATATTACACCTCTAATGAACAAACAATTAAAATTAAACTTAATTAGATTTTGAAATCATTGGAGTATTTTCTATCCATGTTTTTGTCTATAGCGAGACCAATGAGCACAAGGGTGGACAAGGATGCCGAATTCGCGTACGGCACAGGCCAAGTTTATCCAAACAGGGCTATCAACCCTGGGCTGGTCTACGACATGGATGACATGTCGTATATTCAGTTTCTATGTCACGAAAACTATAGTGGGTCAGCAATTGGTACCTTAACCGGGCGCGGGACGGTGGACTGTTCGAAACTGGCCCCGGCGAGCCCAGAGGATGCCCTCAACTACCCGACCATGCAGCTCGCGTTAAAAACCGATCAAGAGGCGACCGTGGCCGTTTTCCAGAGGACCGTCACGAATGTGGGCCCTCCAGGGTCGGTTTACAATGCCACCATCCAGGCCCCGAAAGGGGTCGTTATAACCGTGAAGCCCACGAAACTCTCGTTTTCCGAGGCCTTGCAGAAGAAGAGCTTCAAAGTTGTGGTGACGGCGAAGCCTATGTCCAACAGGAGGGCTATTGCGTCGGGTTTGCTCACGTGGGAAAGCACAGATATCCGTGTGAGGAGTCCGATTGTCGTTTTCAACCCGTATGCAACTCAAGACAGGAATTCGGAAAGTGTTTATAATATGTAAATCAGTTAATGCATACAGTCTTTACACGGATATCTGTGGATGTCAATTCTAAGTATGTTTACTGTGCTGCGATAACACTACCAAGCTTAGATGCAATAATAGCTCATACCATGTTGGGCAAATAAACCTCTGCAATATGAATTTCAGTTCTTCCTGCACTTATATTTATATCTATATATCTATCTACCTATCTATCTATCTATCTATATAATAATTTTTAAAAAGGATGAATGATAATAGTGAAAGAAATAAGAATATATTTATATCTATATATCTATCTACCTATCTATCTATCTATCTATATAATAATTTTTAAAAAGGATGAATGATAATAGTGAAAGAAATAAGAATAATTTTGAACTATCGGATCCAACATATTAATGATTATGATCCACTCAATTTAAATATTGCAGTCAAAACATGCCATGGCAAATTCGTAAATAAGTGTAAAATTGTGGTCAAATATACTCCTTCAACCACTACATAAGGACGAGGTGATAATTATAATTTATTCATTTATCAGGTGGGTCCCACCACCATCCCCTCAACCACTCCTTCTCTTTCACCCACCCACACACACACACAAATCTCACGACATCAGTAAATGACCACCTGCGCACCTCCGTCTGTCGCCAGCCGCCGCCCGCGGCTGCGACAGAACTCTCTCCGACGCACACAATGTTTATTCTGCACTCGCCGGTTGTCAGAGCTTTATCATCTCCTGGTCATCTGAAAGTCAGTTCCGTCCGCCGCCGCCTCTGATTCATGGCGTTCTCACCTCAGCAACTCGGGAAACTTTCGGAGAGATCGTCGGCCGTCTGTCTGCTGCATCCCGCCGCAAGACATCTTGCACCG